AAATAAAAAAAAAAAAAAAAAAAAAAAAAAAAAAAAAAAAAAAAACCAATACTTGTAAAAATGTCAATTTTATTATTATATTATGTACTTGTGATTTTTCTAAAACTCGAGAACTCACAGTGCATAATATAAACATACAAAATTTGATTGAAATATAAAGTTATTCATATACTTCAATAATATTTGAGTAAAAAAATCCATCATTTATAAGCTAGAAGCAGTGTAAGAAATGTTTAGTTATACATAAATTAGATATATATATATATATATATATATATATATATATATGTATATATATATATATCTTAAAAAATATAATCATTTTTCTAAAGATGCATATTTGAGGAAATAATTCTAATAGAATAGTGCAATCTAACTTGTAAAATTTTATCGTTTAAAGATTGCTTGAAAAATTGGAAAAAGAAAGTCATACTTACTGGCAATTGCAATGCGAATATTGTTAATTAATTAATTCATATTCCAAACGTTATATTCAATGTTTAGAGTTTATTCTATACTCCTTCGCATATCATTACGACCGTGTCCGCGCGCACGCGCACACATACACGTACACGCGCGTATTGGTTACATTTGATGTTTTGATATTTCTGTAGAATTTTGAAACTAATAGATCATAATACCTGTCAGTAGGCCTTTTCTTCTGCCTTTTCAAAAATACTTTTAATTAACAATTACATTTGCGCAGGCGCGTAAAATTTGCCGCCGTGGCAAAGTCCAGTCATCGCACCAACAACGACCTTCCAGACGATAAAAAATTCTGCTTTCCTTTTACAGTCAACGGCCTTATGAACGCCTGAAGTCACACATCCCCGATGGGCAGCATGAGGGTCAATCATTCGTCGCAGGCCCTGTCCGGATGCCGGAAGCTGTCCCTCGTCGCCCTAGTGATGTTCACCTGCGTGGCAACTGCCCTCGACATACGTGAGTACACTCAACTACTCCGTCCTAAGGGCACTTTCGCATTGTCATATTATTTCGATATTAATTAAAGGCTAGCTTATCATACTGGCCATTCTCCAGTTAAATAAATAGCAACTGATCGAGTTGGGAAATTATTATGAAATATCGGCTTAAAAGTTGTAATAAGATAATAATATTCGCGTAGAAATAGAAGAAATCGATTATAATGGATTCATGGTGTTTATAATCGTCCGGGCAAATTAATGAAATATCTGTTCGAATTAATAATATTATTTGGTATCTGGTGGTTATAATTTTTACGATAGTTTTACAATAATTAATAACTATTTAATAGAGCGTCAATTTATATTCTCTAAATAAGGTGCTATTTAATTAGTAATTAATAATATTTCTCATGTAAAATCATAATGGTTTTATGATAATAAATAGGAAATATAATTTTCAATGTATATTCCAAAATTGAATTAAAAAAAAAATGTTATTCTGTATTTAATTATATGCTATCTGAAAAATGAAAAACTACCAACATTCTCATTAAGATCAAATTTTAAACTTTTAATTTTTCTGCTCGAGTTAGATTGTAAAATTGTATTGAAATTTCTTTATATTCATGTTTAAAATTAATTCTCATAAAGTTGCGTGTAATAAAAGTACTTAAGTATTTGTAAATATTAAACATATAAAATGAAACATTCGCTCTCGAAAATACCCGACGAGTCTTTAAATGTGTAAACTACGTGGAGGCATTAATATTTTAAGGAAAATCTAATATCAGCAGACTAAGCTATTGCTAAATATTTTATGAACATCTTTCTATTTTAAATATACTTATAGGCATTTTATAAGAATAATGTTTTGATTATAAATAGATAAGTATTGATATTAAATTTAATTAAATTCAATGATTCTTATTCAATTAATCTATAATGATTTATGAATTATGAATTTTATATTATCCCATTCAAATAATTTTCCGAATAATAAATAAGCGTTACGGTGATAAGTTTCATTTTATTTTACATTATAAAAATTGAAAAACTATCACAGCTTATCTGTTATACTTATTTAAAAATTAATCATTAAATTAATCGTGTAAGTAAATTGATTATATAATTTAGAAATTGCAAATACAAGTAGTAAACGAAAAAATTTTTATTTTATATATAGAATATTATATGTTATAGCGATAAATTAATTTCAATAGATTTAAGTAGATTGATTTAATAAATTTTTAATTACCAGAGATTATAATTTAATATAAATATACAATTTGAAACTAAAATTGTAATCATGAACGTCGCATTTATATGTATTAATATGCTTCCATTGCTTTAACTAACTAGTTAACTAGAATTCTCCGAGGAAATAATAATATAAAATTCTTCGAAAGATTATTTAATTCAAAATACTCATTGCGAATCAAATTTTAATGCAATTATCTTATTTTCGGAATATTATCTAATCCCTTATGTTATTAATCAACATAATTTAAATAATCAATTTAGTCCAAAACCAACTATTACATTGCATATTTGACGCAAACATCTAAATTTTTTATGTAAAATTAAATCACCATATCATTTATAAAGCTCATAGAAAGAACAAAAAGCTTCCACTCACGCGGCCTTATCTTATTAGTAGGCGCGCGCACTTTCCGTTTCAAAATATGTGCCCTTGAGATTTTGTGTCTGTGTGTATGCGTATATGTACGCATATATATATATATATATACATATATATATATATATGCTTTAAAATTAATGAACGGAAGGTTAAATGTGTGGGGTGACTTGTTTCCATTTTTTATTATCAGAGTTCTGATATACCAATGGCTTTTGTATGTATACGTACACATATGCATATTTATGTAGATTTAAGTTACGTGCCAATGAACCAACTATATTTGGATATTATCGCGTGAAATAAACTTTTGCCGCATAATCAATTACGCGAATAGTTGAGGAGATTTTAGTTGTACACTATTACTCATATGACTAATTGACTTTAATATGACAGCTACCGCATTGAAATATGAATTTGTTAAAGCTTATTTGAAGAATAAAACAAAAATTCCATTGTAAAATATTTTTTATTTATATTGTATACTATGCGTAATCAAGTATATTTATATATTTCGTAGTTTTCTATTATTTATTATAGCAACGATTTTTATAATGCTATTCATATGTTATATATGATGTATGTTCATATGTTTATATATAAATATTTATATACAATGCTTTTTAACATACAATTCTATCAGATGAGAATCATATAATTCGATATAAATGTCCTGGAATGCATAGTAGGGTACTACGTTTCATTTTACAATTAAATTAGACTTAGTTTGAAATTAATTGAGATATTGCATGTACCTAGTGAAAAAATTATTTATATATTTTTACAAGGAATAAACAAAAAAAAAAAAGTTATATCATTATAAATATATATATATATATATATATTTAACAAATGATAAATCAGTATTAATCTTTAAGAAATGGAGATACAACTCGCAGAAATTAATATTAGGATAATTGAAAGGCTTAAGTAAAAGTTTATAATGATAATTTAATTGCTGAAAAATATATTAACTAAAATTATTGAATCATTATAATTAGGACAATTAAAATAATTATTCGTATATAAGTTTAGAAATGTATGCATACGTTACTAGTGAAATATGTTTTAGAATAAAATTTAAATTAAATATATTAAATTTCACTGAATTTGAACATTCTACCTAAATAACCAATTATATATCTATATGCTATAAGCTCTATAGAACAATCTCTCTCTCTCTCTCTCTCTCTCTCTCTCTCTCTCTCTCCGTCCCTCTTCTTGTCTCCTCTCATATATACATATATATATATATATATATTTTTCAAACATTTATTCTTTCTCACCCTTTCATTTTCTTCTGTTCTGTCCATTTCTCAATATTCATTTAATAAAGTCAACAATTTAGTGCTATCATCAATTATCTATCTCATCTGAAATAAATATGAGCAAGGAAAAAGCTACGACATGTAGAACATATTAATGCCGATGTATTGTACAACATAAAAAAAGATAATCGTTCATAAACCAACAGATGATAGTATATTGTTTATTGATTAAACAAGTATATCAGACGGCGAGAAACGTAACTCAGTTCCCAGGCATCGTGCCCTTGTTTTATAGATAAACTCATGTATAAGTCATGGAGTAAAAGAGCTTATGTTGTGTAACTGCGATAGTGTAGGTAAAAGCGATGCACGCTAAGCAGCTGCTCCCAAAATCGACCACCTCTTCTCTTTCTATTTTCAATCTCTCTCTCTCTCTCTCTCTCTCTCTCTCTCACTCACTCACTCACTCACTCACTCCCTCTCGTCCTTTCTCTCGCATTCTCCAATTTTATTTATCTGTCCAGCTATTTCTTATCAACTTTGTGTGTGTGTGTGTGTGCGCGCGCGCGCGCGTGTGTGTGACAGTCTTTTTTACTCTACCTTGGCGTATTCGCAGTCTCGTCGAACAATTTCTTATGGGTATAAGGACGCTTCCCGCTATACTAAAATTTTCAATTCCAACCATTTTACTCTATCTTTCTCTCTTCTATCTCTCTCACTTGCCATATACGTCTAACATTTGCACATACTTCGCTTCAGATTTCATTTCCGTTTAATCCTTATACATTATAGCTTCTTCTCTGGCTTCTCTTTTATTTCTATGTTTTCTTTTACCCGACTGAACTATTATAAAACTCACTTTTTGATTCGACTCTATGTTTCTGCAGATATTTTTAAATTAACTATGTAACATACTTTCTAAACTGTTTAAACAATAATGTAATTTTCATATTTTCTCACAAAGCACTTATGAATACTTATATTAATCCTTTATTAATTTTATTAATTGAATTAATTGAATTCTTAAAAATATATTTATAATATATTATTATTGTCTGCCGAGCGTTATTCTCTTTAATTCATGTTATATCTGTAATAATTATAAAACTTAATCTCCATAATGAAGAAATCAATATAGTCTGCTAATTTCATATTAAATTCATATTAAAACACAATTTAAATATTAACTATGAGATGTTCGTAATACATTACAGTACGTCACTAAAATATGATTGAAGAAATTTGTTGAAAAAACATTTAATAAAATGCATAAAAATTATAATCTTTCAAAAATATTTTATTCCGCAATATATTTTTCTTGCTAGATAATTAGTAAATTCAAATATGAGTTTATTATTAAAATTTTAATGACTATATTAATTTAAAAAATGTAAAGAAATCTCGTAAAGAATGCTTACTGGCTACTACTACTACTACTACTACTACTGCTCAGTCATGAATTTAATTAATTTTATGGATAGTGAAGAGTAAAATATAATAACATATACATAGTTCCTTATTTATTATTATATACTAAATCAGGATTATCTTAGTAGGTGGTATCACGCTATCAATACTTTTTATTTCACTGCTCAGAACGAAGCTCGAAGCGAGGACGACATTACAGTCCAAGTTAATAATGCACAACGTATATGTGCATCGGACCTCGAGGGACCAATTATTTTGAATTTAATTCAAAATAAAATGTGAGATATGGCATTGAGGATGAATGAAAGAGAGGCTAAAAAAGTGTAGAAAAGAAAAAGTCGTACGGAATAACGACAAGAGTATTAAATTCAATAAAATAATTCCTTATATATTAATATAACAGTTAAAAAAAAAAAAAAAAGAAGAAAAAAAGAGAAAAAGAAAAATCGTTTACAATTATGTTCTTATAATATAAAAATATTAATATAATATTTCATTTGAAAAATGTCGTTAATATATCAATCACAATGACGCGTATACATAAAACATTAATATCAATAGTATATATAAGCAAATTCAATAAGATCAAATATCAAATTCATTCACCCAATTACAATTGTTGTATTTATAAATAGATATATGCATATTTTGATTATATATTTGGAAAATCCATATACATATTTC